TCCCACTGTACTCTATGTCCCTGGGGAAGTAGAGCACCTCGGACTACCCTGTACCCAGCATCTGGCATGTTGCTCTTAATTACTGTGATAAATGAATCTAGTTCCTCATAACTGCATTTACTGTATGTGGCAGATACAGGTATAATATTTTCAGACATCCGTCTAAATAGAGTTACTCTGGATACACCAAGGAGTTTGGTAATGACACTTGTTGGCAGACCCATTTCCACAAGGTGTTCGAGAGCCTCTCGCGACACCGCCAGTCGTGGGCGGCCACGAGAACCTCTTTCAACGTGTACCGTTATTAATGCCTTTTGATTATCTCTTTCCTGCTGGATAATAGTATTCAGATCTGAAAGAGCAGAAAGTATATCCTCTCCTACATCAACAATGTCACCTAGAGCACCTAATAAAACTAAATAATGGTGACAAGCAAACTGTAGCCCTTCCCCATCAACAGGTTGCCTCTCCAAGATGCTTGACAGTCGATCGTACAACCTTTGAAGGATGTCAAGCCTCAATGATTCCTAGAGGAAAAAACAACAAAAAAAAAAAAAAAAAACAGAACAAACATGAATTGGATAACTGTTGGGTAATAGAAATAAAATAACAACTTCCAAATATCTTATGGCACTTTTATTTTTTTAACACTCCAGCTATGCTAGTTTTAATAAAAAAACATTTTTAAATAAGACCAACTGTAGATTCAAAGGTACATGAAATGATGAAGCAGTATTTCTGTTTATTATGTGCCAGAGCTCATTGGCCAAAATTTAAAGATGTATTTTATTTAAAAAAAAATAATATTTCTTTAACTATTGCCCACCGCCAGAAAATCAAACATTTATGCACTGGCTCAGCCAGTGTCTGTCTCCTTATTACTGCACGCACAGCCTAAAGCAGGGGTGTCAAACTCAAATTCACAATAGGACCAAATTAAAAACTGGGACAAAATTGCGGCCCAAACTCAATATTTATTGAAAAGTTTATTTACAGATGTCTTGTTATTCAATTGGAAAGAAACTTATTTTTGCATCTGAACACAGAATCTGATATGACCAAATTACACACGTGTTTTAAATAAAACACATCACTCGTTACTTATGTCTCAATTTTTATTTACTCTTTTTACTCCTTACAATGTGTACATATTCAGTATTTAGATTGTTTTACCTTTTGGATATTTTAAGTTTGTCTGTTTTATGTTTTCTTTTAGTTTACTCTTTATTATTATGTTTTACTCTCCTGTTTGGCTCCTGTAATGAACGTTATTGCTGCTGTGACACCACAGTTTCCCCACTGAGGGACAATAAAGGGATTTTCTATTCTATTCTTCAATTTGTAGTCTGTCCAGTTCCCATTTTAGAGTAAGTTTAATCTTTTTTTCACAGGCCAACAACAGAAACCAAAAATAGCAATTATCTTCTATGAAAATATCTCAGTTATTAACTTTCATGCTTTGGAGCAGAAAAAGGGCATGACAATTAAATATTTCAAGCTCAGTTCGCTCCAATCTGATGGTCACCTTTTCCAGCCAGATACCTTCTTTCTAGGCGTTCAAAGTCGGAAACTCGCTGAGTAAACTGGGCGCTTAGAGCAGTATCTTCAGTTGTTTAAGACTGAGGGTAACGCTGCACACGCTGATTCTACTAGCATGGATGCTAATGATCGTAAACATAAAAGAGGGCTTGCTTCGTCTCGCGCGCAAACGCTGCAAAGCACTGTGGGATTAGAAGTCTTATCTGCAAAATCACCCGGCGGGCCAGTTTTAATATTATATATTTGATATTTGATTTCGCGGGGCAAAAAAAATAGACCAAGGGCTTGAGTTTGACAACCGTGGCCTAAAAAAATGGTACCTAGACACGCTAACTAACAAATGTTCGCCTGAGTTTAGCTTGATGTTAAACTAGATGAAGAATGTACCAGACTTCACGTAGCGTCTGGACTGAATTTAACATAAAACATTTTACTTGACCATGAAGAACGCTTCTACTCATAATTCTATAACATTGCATAAATTACAACGAGGGAATAAGATAAAACTGTTACTCACAGATTGTGACCGGTCCATCCCGCTCTGCCATGTGAACTGCAATACGCATGCGCACAGCAGATCTGTTCCGTAATATAAGGAGCCATATGACTGGCTGAAATCGAACAGCCCTGGCAGAATCATATATTTGATTGACAGATTCATTAGCCAATGGTGACGTTTGTTGATCTGCGACGTTAGGAGAGTCTCAAAATTCAGCACACCGATTTCTCTCACGAATGCAGGAAGGTTCACAAATGAGAAGCTGTTCGTGAATGCACCACACAGATTTCACTCACAAACGCAGAAAGGTTCACAAATGAGAAGCTGTTCGTAAATGCACATTCAGCTATTCGTATGATCTGTGAGTTTATATTACAAGTGTTCTTACAAATTATATTTGTGAACCACAGAGTGTGAACTTCAGAATTAGCGTGTGCATTTGTGGAAAATGTTGCGTGACTTATTGTTTCACATTATATTTATGTGTCAAAGAGTATGAATTTCCAAATGAGCGTGTGCATTTGTGTTCCTCCGAATTATATTTTATGAAACACAGTGTGGATTTCCGAATGAACATGTGCATTTGTGGAAAACGTTGTGTGACTTAATTCTTATTGAGACTGTTCTGGCCTCATAAAATGGCATCATCTGATCAAAATGACCAACTTCCTGCTGGTCTTGAAACATGGTTTCAGGAGACTTTTTGTAAGTCTCAAGACACATCATGAATGTACCAAATATCATAATCCTCAGTCAAAGCATGACATAGAGCTGACTGTTGTGATGGTCCTAGGGAGCACTATGTTAAAACTAAGCCATGCCTATGGAAAATTTGTATAATTATCTGTTTGGGGTTGGATTAGAGTAAATCACATTACATTTCGCACAGATGAGATGTGAATTGAAGAAATTAGAGGCAAACGTAATTCCATGGTGTGATGCCTAAATTCGCCATACTCCTTAAGCCCCACCCTCTTTTGAAACCTACCAGACACTACATATGTGTAACAAATTTCATAATCCTCAGTAAAAGCATGGTATGAGGCTGATAGTTTTAATTGCCCTAGGGGCCTGCTATTTTAAAGAAATAGGTCACACCCACTGATGTGGCAAGGGGTCAATATCTTAGGCTTAGCCATGCCTACACAGTTATACTTTTGAGTATGTTTTTCACAACTTTTGATCCTCAGTGGCTTATGAGTGAAATATGTCATTTTGAAGTCTATAGGTCAAAAACTCTACGATAAGTTAGCTTTAATTAAGCATGTGCAAAAAAGAAAAGAAGAAATAGTCATGTGACTAAAATGGCAGACTTCCTGTCAGATTTGGAAAGTGGCTCCATAGACCTTTTTGTAGGCTCTGAGACACTACATAAGTGTACCAATTTTCATAATCCTCAGTAAAAGCATGACATGGGGCTTACCATTTCAATGGTCCTAGGGGGAGCTATTTGAAAAAATAGACCACACCCACAGGATGTTTGCATCCATATCTGTTTGAGGTCAGATTAGTCACATTCATGCAAAATTTCCTGCAGATAAGTTGAGGAATGAGGAAATGAGGCAAACATATTGCTACGGCGTTACGCCTGAATTCGCCATACTGCCACAGCCCCGCCCTCTTTCAACACCTGCCAGTACTGGATGCTAAGTGAGCCCAACATGTCAACTGTTATTTGGCAGTGATTCATATTGGTTAGATCAAAAGGGTATAATTGGGAGCTTTCAGAGTAAACATGACCTTTTCTGTTGTGAGGGGGTGGAGCCTTGATGATGTCATCATCTGATTATTGATTGTTGTTTAGGAGTGGATGACAAACAACCACAAAAATTTTCGAGACTCTGTGTCCTACGATGATGACATTATGGCAATTTATATTTTTAGCGAGAAGTCAGTATTAGGCCAGGAGAAGTCCTGCTGCTGAGGTGCTAAGTTGTATCGGTTGTATCAGCCCTGCTATGCAGTTTTCTACCTGCAGGGGGCTCTGATATTATATACAACACAACCGATATGGTTTACGAAACCAATTTTTTAATTGGCTATAAAACACAAAAGGAAGGTTAAGGTGCAGAAATAACTAAATAAGATGATAATGGCTGTTACAAAGTTTGTAATAATATATTAACAATGTTTACTTTTTATATTTTTCAAAGATTACAACACTTTAAAAGTCACGGTTTACGAGACCATCAAAAATGGTCTCATAAACCTATTGGTTTCATAATGCTGGTGTGTAAACTGACAAATAGGTCTCACAAACCATAAGCGCACACACACACACACACCTAGCTGGAGGAGGGCATAAGCACACACACACACACACACACACACACACACACACACACACACACACACACACACACACACACACACACACACACACACACACACACACACACACACACAACTGGAACAATAGACCTATGGAAATTATGGTGGGGAGACTGAAGGAACACAGGACCTGAGAGGGAATATCTGGAGGGCTGAAGACCAGGGGACACAAGAGGAACACAAAGAGACACAGACACAGACCATCAGGGTTTAGGACTATGAACAATTACAGGCATTGAAAATCTTTAGAAAACCTAAAAAAAACTCCTCAGTAACTTGAAGCTGGAGGTGAATGTCCGTGCGTCTCGTTTTTCAACCTGTCCTCTTTCCCATGGGGGAACAGATGGTTATCTGTGGAAGGGCTTCACACAATGAAGCAGAGGAGAGGCAACAATGCCCTCACGAGTCTCCCGCTCGGTGAAAAGTTTACTATCACAGTGATACCCTAGAAGTTCCAACTCTGTGAGCAAGAGTGTGAGAGAAGAAAGCTACATGCAGTTGTCTCTGTACAGCAAGCGTCTGAGAGAGTGATCAGAGCAGCTTTAAAAGTTGAACAGAGAGAACTGAACCAAAATTATTGCAAAACATCTCACTGTATGTGTTAAGTATGTTTTACCTTTGTGTTTTAAAGGGACCGTCAGCACAGATCTGCTGAATTCTGTCAAGACCAGCAACCAAATGGGCCAGTTCAAAGAGTCTACTACATGCACAAGTAAGTACGCTCAGGTTTAGATCAATGCACTGACTCAAAGAGAAAAAAATCTGAAAAATGCCTCATGATTCTGAATCAACTACGTTGGACTGAAAGCTCATGTTGTTCAAATCAAATCAAATTCACTTTATTTATCCGTTCAATTGCAGATAGTGTCAGCATAGTCCATAAAAACAGCATCAAAACATGCATACACATTCTATTTAGAAGAATACTCACACCTACAAACACTTAAAGGAATTAAAAATGTAATAATAAAATAATAAAAGATTTTCGGTTCAATCTGGATTCACCGTAATGTGGTCACAGTCAGTTTTGCTGTGGTGGAGGGAAGAAAACTGGAGGAAGCCATTTTTGTCTTCACTGGGGGGGGGGGGGGGGCCTGGACTGCCGTTCTGATGGTAACCGGGTGTAACAGGAGTGGAGAGCACGTGACGGGTCCGTGGAGATCTGTGTGCCTTTCCTGAAAACGAAAGTGTTGCATGTGCTGGTTAGTGACTGCTGCTCCTGACCGATGACTTTACTGCTTATCCTGATTATTGTATTGAGCAGGTTACGCTGAGCAAGTGTGAATGAACCAAACCAGGCAGAACTGTTGAATGTGAGAATGGGTTCGATAAAGCATCTATAGAAAGCAGCAAGGATGGATTGGTGGACCTGAAGTTTGTGAAGATTACAGAGAAAATAGAGGCGCTGTTGACATTTTGTCCAGTTCTTTTTGCAGCAGTCCTTCTGTGTTTGTAGTGTCCATGATCAGTGTGTCACCTGACTATTTGATGTAGGTGATTCCTGGGGTTGTGCTCCTGCAGTCATTGGCGTATAAGATGAACAGAAGTGGAGAGATCACTGAACCTTGTGGAGAACCAGTAGAGAGTGATTCTACTGAACTGAGGTGGCCGTTAACCCTGACACTCTGCTCCCTCCCCATGAGAAAGGAGAGGACCCAGAAGATGATATGGGGGGCTAACATTCAGATTCAGCACTTTACGTCCCATAAGATGTGGCTGTACTGTGTTGAATGCATAAAGTTTGCAAAGTGCTGAGGACAGCTGAAGGGACACAGTCAGAAGAATGGTGTTCCTCAACCTCTGCGTCAAGTACAGAGGGTGAAGAGTTTATAGGCGTTTTATACTTAAAGCTCTCGTTCACTGAGAAAAGTATATATGTTTATGAAATGCAATCAGTTTCACATACGTGCTGAGGGTGAACGTGTTCATGTCCCTAGTTGACATAAACAAAACTAAAAGATAATTTCTGGTTCCAGGTACAGTTTATTGCCTGTGTCTTCTTTGAATTATTGTTTTATCTGAAATAAACTGTTGGTCTGTTTCAGGACATTCAGGGTCGTTGCTGATGCTGGGAAGTCTCCCTCTTACCTTGATGTTTGCTGTTGCCTGTCTGCTGCAGACTTTGCTGTAGTTACAGTGAGAGTGACTGTGCCACTCTGCATCACCATCATCGGTGGAGATATGAGGATCATCTTGTAATAAAACTGTGAAGACGGTCTAGTCAAAACTACTGTGATTTTCAATCAAATGTTTTTTGTGCAAACTTATGAGAAAATGAGATCTTCCAATTTGACATTTAACTTTTTTTAATAATTGATTTGGAACATAAATATGATTTTCAGGTGAGTGTGTGTGTGTGTGTGTGTGTGTGTGTGTGTGTGTGTGTGTGTGTGAGAGAGAGAGAGAGAGAGAGAGAGAGAGAGAGAGAGAGAGAGAGAGAGAGAGAGAGAGAGAGAGAGAGAGAGAGAGAGAGAGAGAGAGAGAGAGAGAGAGAGAGAGAGAGAGAGAGAGAGAGAGAGAGAATACTCTCATTTGAGATTACAGGCAATTATTTCTTTTACATGTGGGCAAAAAATGTAATGATTGTTTTTAAGGCCTGGGAGTTTTCTTTTCTTTTAAGGGTTGTCTAAATTTTTATTTGAAATGATGTAAATATCTGAAAAGTGGTGAATAAAGGCATGGAAAGGGTATTTCTTCTTTTTCAAATTGAAAAAGGAACAAATAACTGAATGGAACACAAATGAAGATGATTCAGACAGGACAATTAAAACTTTATTTATTCAACAGTGTTAGACAAAAGTGGGTAGAGTCAAAGAAAAAATCCACCAGGTTAATCTAACAAATATACTTTTTGATTTACATTAAATGAATGAGGGAAAGTTTGCACCCTCCAGTGGAAGAATTTTGGAACTTCACTTTTTTTTTGTCTTGGCGGTACCGTAGCTGGGTTAAAGGGAGAAAAGGAATTTACGTTTACAAAATTACAATATTTACTCAGTAAAAATGCTTCATGTGAATGAATTATTTCAAAATAAAACTTGCATTTTTGAGTTAGCAACAGGAAAACCCACTCTACAGTCTGTTTCTCTCAATGTTTAGCTTTAAAAAAAGTGCATTCATGCAACAGAGGTTACACATGGCTGGACATAATTGTTATTTTTAGTCAATGTGAAAACCTCAGCTAGGTAAAGAGCTAAGTTTTTTACTGACACAAAATAATTTTAAAAGGGAAATTAGCACCGTCCTGTGGAAATTATTTCCTTAGTGTTTAGCTCAAAAGAATTGAATGTTTTCTATGTATAGACATAATTATTATTTGTAGTCAAAGCGAAAAACTGAGCTAGCTAAAGGGATTTTTAAAAACTGTTTTTAATAGACATTAAAAAGTTGAGTAGGGAAATTTCGCGTCCTCCGGTGGAGAAGATTTGGAACTTCACTCTGGATGTGGGGAACAATTTAGGAGATTATTTTAGCCTCAATATCCCAATTAAACTTAAAAATCTACTTGGTATTTGTTGTCTTTGTGGGAAAAAAAGTAGGTGGTGTAGAGGGAGAAGAGGGATTAAATTATGTAAAATTACAATATTTACTCAGTAAAAATGCTTCTTGTGAATTATTCATAATAAAACCGGCTATTCCACTCTTTTATCTCAATATACAGCTACAATCAAAACTGTATGTGACCTAAGTAAGTCGATTTGGATAAAAGCGTCTGCCAAATAAATAAACATAAACATAAACCTAGAGGATTGTATGCTTCGATCCTAAACCGTAGGTAATAACACTTCAAGAAACCATAGCAGAGGCTTGTTCACAAGTTAACAATACTTTTATTAACAAGACACATCGAAAACCACAGATAAGATTCACCAAAACAGATGGGGATAAAAGGAGTGGACTTAAACACTAAAGAGAGAGGAGGGAAAAGCTATGACAATGCTGGCCCTGGGATCACACACACACACACACACACACACACACACACACACACACACCGCCAGCCAACTACTATTTAAAAGCACAAGCTGCTGTAGGGAACAAACACAAAAGACAACATAAAGCAAAACACCCAGTGCTCCCTTTAACAAAAGCTCATAAACACGCCCCCAGAAGCGAGTAAAACCCTTGACAAACCCCTACAACGGATACTCTAAATGAAGTCACCTACCCTCCCAGAAACAGCAATGTCATCAAGCTAACTACTAGCTTCACCGTGAAGCTAGTAGAAGTAGTTAGCAGTGGCGGTTTTACCATTAGGCATAGGTCGGCGGCTGCCTGGGGCCCCCTTTTGTTGGGGGCCCCCTAGCCCTGACTGCTGGCATCCCTCTGTTAATGCCACAATGGACTACTCCTTTAAGATGCCAATACACAAACAGGAAGTAATTGGTAGTCATTACAGTCCAATCCAGTTGGTGGCAGTAATGTACCAAATTGTTGTTTACCAAGTGCCATAAGACCACGAGTAAGTAGAAGAAGAGGAAAACAGAAAATGAAGAAGAGAGACGGGAGCATTTGTAATAAACTCGAAGCAGTAGTCAAAACATTAAGCATGAAATGGAGTTATCCTAGTGGTTCCAGTGAGAGAAAGAAGCAGCTTGCTTTAAAAAAGCTTTTATCTTCACTTCCCAAAGTGACATAGTTTTTCTATGTAAACATCAAAAGGAAGCAGAAAAGGAAAGACAATAGAAAATGTTTAAAGGTAGGAAAACATAGACCAAAATGGAAAATAGAAGGAAAAAAAAGGAAGGCAAAAGAACAGGAGCCCTGACAGGAAGAAGAAAGCAGAGCTAATAATGAAGGCACTCAAAGGGAGAGAAAGACAGGAAAAAAGAGGAGGGCTAATAAAAAGTGAAAATAACCCATGTCAGAAGAGGGAAGAGTTTCGCAAATCCAGTTAAAGATTGTCAAAAATTTTGTGTAAGGGGACTATGTATGTATTTGCCTTGTGCCCCCAAATTGCTAAATCTGCCACACGGGATAGTTTTCCTATTACTACTACTGCTAATAAAAATAATAATAATGAGAATAATAATAAATAGTGGATTTTTTTTAAAGTCAGCAACACACACACACACACACACACACACACACACACACACACACACACACACACACACACACACACACACTTTATTCCAGAACTGTGCTGCTCTGGGTGGCTGCATGTTGGAGTAGCTCTGTTGACTATGTGTAAGTTTTGTTTTTTCTTGGACATTTTATTCTTCTAGTTTCTCAAGAAAAACTGTATTTTTTTGGACATTTTTTTCTGTTTCTGGTGCTGTGAAGCTTGAAGGATTTTAACTGCTATTTCTTCACTTTTTCACTTTTTGTGCATTTGTTATGATGTGTAACCATGGCAACAATCTGGTTTACAATCGGGAGCAGCTGATTAACATTGGAAATGCTGAAATAATACCTCAACTGAAGCCACAAATCCCAAATGAGCTAAAACGCAAGAAGCGTGGGTGCAGAGCGGGAGCAAAACGGGGACAGAGAAAGAGGAAATTAAAACCATCTATTCCATCGATCATAATGGGCAATATGAGATCACTGGCCAACAAGATGGAGGGACTCCAAGCCCTTTCAAGGACTTAGCCAGAGTTTCGGCAGTGCAGTGTTATGTGTTTCACAGAGACGTGGCTGCAGGACCATATCCCCAATTCCAGCGTCTCTCTGCCAGGATTCCTGACTGTACGAGCAGACAGAGATCTGAAGAGGAGCGGGAAAAGAAAAGGAGGTGGAGTGGCAGTGCTTGTCAACAACAGATGGTGCCATCCTGGTCATGTTTCAGTGAAATGTCATCTCTGCAGCCCAGATTTTGAACTCTTGGCAGTAAGTTGTCGCCCATATTATTTGCCAAGAGAGTTCACCAGTGTTGTCTTGGCAACCGTTTATATTTCACCTTCAGCCTTTGCTGAAAAAGCATGTGATGCCATCAGTTCCGTTGTCGCTAAGCTACAAACCCAGCACCCCAATGCATTTGTGGCTACCGTAAATCCTCTAATATTAGCCTGTATTTAATTAACTGTGGGTATCATATTTTGGCCGGTGTCGGAGTCGGCGGAGGTGAATAATGGCCGTTTTTTTTATTGTGGCCGGGTGGAATGTGGTAACAAGCAAGTACGGGGGGCAGTGGTGTCATTCGTCTCACTTTTGATTTGCCAGTGATAGACCGCGAGGGTAACTCTAACCATGCGGAGATGAAGAGGAGGCGAACATTTGACATCAAGTTCAAAGAGAACGTGCTGATTATGCTGCAGAACACTCTGGGGAGTAGTAGGGGTTGTATGAACTAGTCACTAGTCGACTTCACCGCTCTACAGTGACTTTTTATGCCTGTCATCGCTAGTCGCTGTCACGTGATAATGACCGGCAAGATGCAGTCCACGGAAAAGACAGCAGCCTGCTGTCAGCAGGTGACAAGCTCCTGCACGTCGGGAGGCAACGCGCTGTGCCAGAGCGTCTGTACTGACACCCGCCGTAAAACGGACATTTAACCAAATTGTGACGTTTACCCTCTTGCAATTTAACCTTCCCCTCAGGTGTCGCCACCTCAAAAACTAATTTAACACGCAATCGTTCATGTCGGCTCGTTTCCTTTTATGTTTTTTGTTTTTTTATTCTTTTATTTGTGCCTGATGCATTTCGCTGCTGTGGATCGGGGCACATCACCTGTTTTGTCCTTGGTGACGTGATGTGGCCGGCAAGCAGCGAGCACTCCGCTGTTTTTGCGGTCGGTAGATCTTTTAGAACTGCAGTTCAAAGGTAACTCATAAGGTGAATATATATGAACCCAGGTAGCAGTTTCTCTTTAGGATTGAGAGGAGATGCAGGAAGATAATAATTAGAGACAGGACAGAAAAATAGTCAAATAAAAACAAGTTAGTTTTTGTACCTGGTGGTTGCAACAAACAGACACCATTGAAGGTAATCAGAAGTGAGGAGCAGAAAATGAAATAATTATTTTAATGTTTAGAGCAGCAGGAACTCCGAGAGGCTGCAGGTGCATCAGTGAGTTTGCGGCCGCTGCGCAGGGGGAGGGGGGAGAGGGCTGAAGCAGAAACTACCGTTGTTAAAAGAAATGTGTTTAACTTTGGAAATGTGGGCGCAATTTTAATTGTCAAAAACTCCAGTGAACCATTAGTTCATTTTGCTCAATTAGAAATTGAGGCCTGCCTCTAATTCTGGTCCTCCTTCCAATAAAGGCCTGAAGCTTGATGAGCTTGAGTCAAATACAGACCCGGGCCTGTATTAGAGGATTTACGGTATATCTGGTGATTTTAATCATGCCTCGCTCTCTGCTACACTTCCAACATTTCAACAGTTTGTCAGCTGCTCCACCAGAGAAAACAAGACCTTGTCTTCAGTCAGAGGCTTCTTGTTTCGCTGCAACACTGACCGCTACTGGAGATCCTTCCTGCCAACAGCCTTTGTAATAACTACAATAACACTTTGATGACTTGATTATTATTATAGTAATCAGAATCCAGTAGACTCGCCTCTTACATATATATATATATATATTATATATACATATATATATATATATATATATATATATATATATATATATATATATATATATATATATATTTATGTATATGTGTGTGTGTGTGTGTGTGTGTGTGAGGCGAGTCTACTGCAGGAAACCGTGCTCACGTGACCATTGACGTCACCGAGGAAATGGCAGCCTCCTGCTTTGTGAACTGACACAAGGTTTTCGAGCTAGTAAACAAAAAGCGCTTGGGTTTCTAACGCTGGAAAAATTCTTTAAAGGCAAAGGTGCGTGTGTGTTTAATATTTTACTGCCTGGATGTGGGAACTATACAGCTAGTGGTGGTTTGGAGGGTAATCCGACGGCTGAAAGAAGCCATTTAACTGTTTTCATAGAGGATGTGGACGGTCGGTAATCCCACACGTGTGGGTGTAGTCTGCAGTCCGTTACCAAAGTAGCAATAAAGCTCTTTACTTCGGTCTTTAACCTGCTTGAAACACTCGTAACCTTTATCCCATTGGTGTGCAACTACTACACCCACTTACACCAGATTCCACGGTCAGTCGGAACAAATTAGTTTGGTTTGGTTAAACTTGTGCCTGTCGAGAAAGGAGTAAAAATAAAACCACATACACACTTTTACCTCGTATAAAACTATATAAGTCTAACAAAGATCCTCATTCGTGACCGTTAGGTTAGCTAGTGAATTACATATTGAATATGATGCATCTGAAGCCCACTTGTAAACAACATGGCACGCGGAGCTTTTAGCCAATCGGAGAGCTCATCGATGCAGAATACTGCAACATGATTGGTCGGTTGGTGGGCGTTGGAAATTCCAGCAGACGTGTATAAATGTTGAAATTAAATCCAATACTTTATCTGCTATTAGACCAGGTTTTTGCAACTGGGGAAAACTCACATTTATAGACATTTGACCATTGATTTTATCTATATAATTGTATTTTAATTGAGAATTGTTTTGTTTGTTTTAACACCAGTTCAAGCAACGTAGGTGCATACATATTAATGTGATGCACAAATAATGTACCAGAAAATTGTAACAATGAAAACGTATGAACAGGAAGCAATGTGGGGTTTACCTGAAAACTAACCACCCAGTCCAAAACAGAAATACTGCAAAGTAAGGAGGTGGACGAGCTAGGACCTTACCAATTTTACATATTTGGATAATTTTGGCCAAATTCTGTAAAACTGAACAGAGAAAAAGTGATCTTTTCCATTGTATAAACATCATATACTACCTGTTCTTTAATGCTTGGTGGTTAAACTTTTAGCCACTTTCTCATATTAGCCTTCTTAGTTGCTGCCATAAGTAAAACAACAAATATTTAAAAATTATTCTATTAAAATGTTTCAAAAGCACCACCCAGGTACAAAGTAACAGCCTAGAAATCTAGACAGACAGTTGCTGAACAGAATGACTTTGCTCTGTTGCATATATTCTCGTGTATAGGATCATTTGCTAGGCTAACAGTAGCAAATTTGAAAGGAATCTTTACACTAAATATATATTTTCGATGGGAATTTCTTCCCAGTAACATGTAATAACTTGAACTTCCCGTTAAACATGACTGTAGCACTGTTTGTGCAGCGATCCAGCAGATTTCAGTCCATTTACTTCGGATTCCCTCTTCCTCTTTAAATATTCCGTATTCTCCAGTTTCCACTACTGAATGTTTTTGTCAATCAATCAATCAATCAATCAATCAAAGCTTTATTTATAAAGCGCCTTCCGCAGCCCTGTCAGGAAGCCCAAAGCGCTGAACATGGTTCAGTTGTAGGTAAATATATTGAATAAATCAAAAATAAAAGCTATTCAAATTACAAAATAGGTGAAACATTCTGGTACAGGACAAATGTGTAAAACAATGGATTGAGTGAACCAATGAAAACTGTGAAATAAATTCATCATAAAAGAGGGCATATATATATATATATATATATATATATATATATATATATATATATATATATATATATATGTATATATATTTATTTTTGTGTATAGTCTTCAGTCCACTTTTTCACTTTGTTCCGATTTTATTAATGACATGAAAACCTAAAAAAAATACCTGTATTGATGCCTATCTTGCGAGTGAGACTTGTCTTATAATGTTTAACCCAGACTGCTGTCTCAGCTGTTGATCTGGCACATGATAGCAGGTGAAAGACGCAGGCGTGGAGACTTTGAGCTCCACGTAGAGCTAGGTCTGTCAGAATAGGCAGTGTGTAGCTCAGGAATCCAGTCAACATGGCTTCCAAAAAGTCAGGTAACTGGAAGATCATTTGATATTTATTTTTAGTTTTAATATTTCCCATTAAACTGAAGCTCTGACAGTCCTCTACCTCTAAAGAAGTGGCTTTCTGGTTATTTGAAGCCATTTTAAATGTTGCAAAGTTGTGGAAACGTGCTTTTGTTTCTTTCTTTCTCTTCAACACAGACTCAGCTATGTCTCCAAAGATCACCGGAGAGCTCCTCCAGCTGCTTCGGCAGGCAATGAAGAACTGTAAATACTTCTCAGAGCCCATACAGGCTTACATAGTCCCATCAGGAGATGCACATCAGGTGAGTTAAAATTACTGACAAGAACTGCTAACGTCCAATTCTAAAATCTAGCGTGTGAAATCATTTAACCCTAAAAATCTGCATAAGCCTACACTGTGCATGACCATTGCACCTTAGCCTCTTATACATTTGGTCTGCATGTAAATATTCTGGATAGGTTGATTCCAGAATATAACTTTTGAATTAAACTTCAGTTATAAAAGGAGCTTCCATATATTGTCCACAAGCTCCAATAATAAAGGAGAATCTATGATGCAATGTAGGGGTAGACCGATTTATCGGGCCAATATTTACTGTTTTTATATATCACCATCAGCCGATGTTTGTCCACAGTAAAGCCGATTTAAAGTCAGGCACTTCTTTGAGCCACCTGGTACTGTTGCTGAATTTTATTTAATACTCTAAATTAACTAGTTTTCTTGTCCGGGGATTGGACCGCCAAGGCTCCCGCCTTGGTCTTGGTCTGCCACCCGATTCACATTGCACCGGACCCTTCATGTTCCTCCTGCGGGTGGTGGGTCCACAGTTGGACGAGCCCATGTATCCGGTTCGGGCTGGGCCCGGCCGGGCCCCATGGGCGAAAGCCCGGCCACCAGGCGCTCGCTCACGGGCCCCAACCCCAGGCCTGGCTCCAGGGTGGGACCCCGGTAACCCTCCGGGCCGGGTACTCCGACTCTTCGTTTTAACCGCCATGAAAGATCCTTCGAACCGTTCTTTGTCTCACCCTTCACCTAAGACCAATTTGTCATGGGAGACCCTACCAGGGGCACTAAGTGCCCCAGACAACATAGCTCCTAGGATCATTAGGGCACTCAAACTCCTCCACCACGATAAGGTGACGGTTCAAGGAGGAGGCTCTCGATTTACCGGTCGATCTACGTCCCAATCCTCACCTATGGTCATGAGCTTTGGGTAATGACCGAAAGAACGAGATCGCGGATACAAGCGGCCGAAATGAGTTTCCTCCGTAGGGTGGCCGGGCTCAGCCTTAGAGATAGGGTGAGGAGCTCGGACATTCGGGAGGGACTCGGAGTAGAACCGCTGCTCCTCCGGATCGAAAGGAGCCAGTTGAGGTGGTTTGGGCATCTGGTCAGGATGCCTCCTGGACGCCTCCCCGGGGAGGTGTTTCGGGCATGTCCTGCCGGCAGAAGGCCCCCGGGTCGACCCAGGACACATTGGAGAGGTTACATCTCCAATCTGGTCCGGGAACGCCTTGGGGTCCTGCCGGAGGAGCTGGTGGACAAGGCCGGTGAGAGGACGGCCTGGAGCTCCCTAGTTGGGATGCTGCCCCCGCGACCCGGACCCGGATAAGCGGAGGAAGACGAGACGAGACTCTAAATTAACTTTATTTAAGTGTCTGACTTTAACACTGAGCAGTGCACCAAAGTTAAGATGAAACAGTTCAATTCGAAGTTCTATAACTGATTCAGCTTCAGAAATTGTGTGCATCAACTTATGTTATTGGTGATATTTTAGCCTGAAAATAAGGTGGAAGATGTTAGATATCTACCATGATAGTCGGCAGTACATATCTGCATCGGCAATGGTAAAACCAATATTTATTGTTCTCTATTGCAAAGATAGCTAGATGCTGTTAATGAGCTCATCCCGAAGACAAAAGGTCTTTTGCATGTTTCACTTACAGGTTTGGTTCACCGAAAACCATTTATTAAGGATTATTTTTGATTATAATGGGTCACTCTTAGTTTTTCATGCAGGCTGAACATGAAAATAGTCTCCTACACCTATCTCCTGCATTAACTTCTGATAGAAAATAGACGGTGAAACTCTAGGATTTGAAAAGCCTGACAGATCTACGTCACACTGTCACTTAACGTTCATGGACTCAACCATCTTGTCTTGTGATGAGGAAAGTTGTTGTTTTTAGCGTCCAGGAATCAGCAGAGAACGTCTCGGCTAGTAGAAGATAACCATTAGCATTAGCAACTCCACCACACAGCAGAAGCTCCTCCATGCTTTTGTTATTTGTGGAGATAAAACAAGTCGATGGTAGAGTCGCGTTGCTGTTAAGCTCAGCTGTGATGTGGGTCACTACTAGTTCCTGGAAATGGTGCGCCAGTATATCCCCCCGAGAACGATTCACAAGCATGCCTTCCTACTAGAGACCTTTGCAAATTAATTGATTAAATGAGTGAACCACACCTCTAAACTGGGAGTGTGTGGTGACAAGAATCTGGCGATACGATATTTTGCGATAATAAAAGTTAGATGATATTTGCAATTTTTAAGCTGGAATTTTATTGGAAATCTCAAACCAGATGCTTCCAAGACACATCCAATTCATCCCGATTTTGTGTTCTGTCAAAATGAAGGAGGTAAGAAGTTCTGCCACCTAGCAGTCAGAGTTTGAATTGCACCACACACACACAAAAAAAAAACAGAAATAAATTTGATACATCAGTGTATCGATGTATTTTCACGTCACTGCCTCAAACCATTGCTGGAAGATCTTTGAGTGTTAACAGATCCGTTTTCCTTTTAACCCTTTTATTCTGCAGGTTCCAACCTCTTACCGTATTTTTTTCGTCAACGTAGTGTGACAAGAATGTGGAAGGAGGTTTAGAAACTTTATGAAAAGTTTGCAGTCACTTCACACTGATTGTAAAGGAAGCTGAAGTCTGCCTCTGTCTGTGTTTCAGTTCAGTTCATTTATTTATAAAGCACTTTAAAACACCCAGCACAGGATCAAAGTGCTGTACAGAAAATACATTAAAACAATAGAATAAACAGAAAGCAGCAAAGAGAAATAAATAAAACACTGGAGACATAAAATTAAAACAGCCCAATAATAAGAATAAAAACTAGATAAAAACAGCATTGAAACACACAAAAACAGCTAAAATAAATCAAAACTAAAAAAATAAAATAAATAAAAAATAGCAACCAACATCTCACAAGGTGTCAAAAGCAAGGGTAAAGAGGTGTGTTTTCAAGAGAGACTTAAAAACAGGTAAGGAACTGGCCTGTCTTATTGCTGAAGGAAGCTCCTTCCACAGTTTAGGAGCGGCTACAGCAAAGGCGCGATCTCCTCTAAGTTTACGCCTAGTCCTGGGTACATTCAGGAGCAGCTGATCAGCTGACCTGAGAGAGCGGGAGGGTGTAGGACAGAGAGATAAGAAGGTGCAAGGCCATGGAGACATTTAAAAGCAAACAAAAGAATTTTAAAATGAATCCTAAAAGAAAAAATATATGTTTTGAACATATGTTTTCCTTTCAGAGTGAATACATCGCACCGTGTGACTGCAGACGTGAATATATCTCTGGCTTCAATGGTTCTGCTGGTATGTTTTGCTTTTTTGTAACACAAGTAACAAACCAGGTGTCTAAAGTTTGGTAAAGGAATGCTGATTTTAAGGATGCAGAGCTTATATTTAACCCCTGACTCTGATTAGGATTTTAGGAGGAAAACTAAGAATGGGATGTAACTTTGTCTCATCTTGAAGGAGGTGTGTTTTTTGACCCTCCCGCCAATCAGAAGCACTTTTTCAAAAAAGACATAAAAGACTCCGACTACTTATTTAACGTTATAAATGACATGTTTAGTTTTTTATAGTCATTTCGTTTCTCACGGCTAAATAAACTCTGCATAACATAATTCACGAGGCGGCTGTGGGTCAATAACCTACAAAATCAGAGTTCGTGTGACAGGGAGGAAGTGTTGTCCAGTGGTCAGAAGCTGAGCTGAGGGGTGCCATCCGCAGTCCCGTCTCATGGAGCCTGTACGTTCGCCCAGGGCACCATCCAAATAGCAGCCTCAGAGATGGGTTAAATGTAGATGAATAATTCCCCCCAAAAGACCGATTAGGTATAAATTATTGTTGTTCACACCTGTAAAAACGTCACTGACAAGAGCGGAATCCTTGTTGTTCTCCATGGTTCAGGAACAGCCATCATCACAGAGCAGCACGCTGCCATGTGGACCGATGGCCGGTATTTCCTCCAGGCCAGCCAGCAGATGGACAACAACTGGACTCTTATGAAGATGGGTAATGTACTCGTTGGTCCTTTAGTCTTACCAGTCATGATGCTGGGTCCTTCAACTGTGATGTAAACAAATATCACAAAGATTATTTTCCTCATTTGAGCAGTCCTCATCAGGCTCTAATTTATATCAGCTTGAGCTAAAGGGTTCAAAATTATGGGACTAAAATAAACACTAAACTAGTGCATGTTTTAAAGGCAACGTTTTCCTATTTTAAAATAATTTTCTTGAGGCAGTATGCGCTAAAATGACCTTTTACACAGGGTTAATGAAATGTTACTCAGACCCCCACCTCCCCCTGTGGCCAGAATACCACACGGTCCAGTCCCTGATGGAGAAGGGAGCTCTGGAGTGGAGTCGACATGATGGAGCTGCAGTCTGCTTCCAGCATGTTTTAGATCGTGAACGCAGCTGATTTGTTTGATTTAGTCATGAACCGCTCCTCTAGACACTAATGAAGGCTGGGGAGACATTTCAGCAGTTAGACTGAGGTGTTATAAAGACAAATTCACAGCGAGGAGATAAAGCCTGATTTATACTTCTCCATGAGCTCCGCAACGGAGAGATGCACACAGAGTGTCGGAAAGGTTTTCACATTCAAACTTCTGTTCAGGCAGCGAAGCAATTCCCCGCCAGGACAACAGAGGGCGTAGCGCTGTTCTGTGGTATCCTGCCACCGTAACACTCATGTTTCCAGTCCACGATGGTGTATTTACTAATGTGTTTATATATTTCAGAGACTTCATAACACGGACAAATTAGTCCTTCTTTCTCCTCCACCTTTTCATGCGCTCGCCACCTCTAAACCGACATTCCCAGTCGTTTCCGTCCACGTTTGCTCTGTATTTTGTCCTCCTTCACTCACGGGTGAATAAATGTTGTTATTTTCTGACTTTTTCCATGACACTTTCTTTAATCTGTTCTTGGTTTGTTGCTAAAAATCTGTTTACTTTTTAACGGAGCTACAACGGTGCTGGTGACAAATATACAGGAAGAGGCGTCCTGACCAATCACAGGATTGCATTCTCCGTCACTTTCAACGGATGTTTAAAATTTTGGGCATGCCTCCGTCACCCTCTGTGAGTCTGTCAGAGAGCCCGTGCAACGACGCATAATGGCGTTGAGTGTCTCTTCACCGACGCAGACAGAGAAGTATAAATCAGGCTGAAGTTTCATTTCTGGTATAACTACAGTGACTTAATAGCAGACACTACGGGGTGCTAAAAGGAAGCTAAATTGCCGAATATCCCTTTAAAACTGTTGCTGAAGTCTGGCAGCTCGTTGTAGTTCTGGTCTGAGTGGTTGCTTAGCTTTAGCGAGCTTGTAGCTGCATGTTTGGGACAGCTAAAGCAGCTTCTGCCACTGTTTAGGGTTTTCCAGGCAGCAGCCTTGTAGGAGTTTTAAACAACTCCATCTGCAGAGATCAGCCGAAATCTTAGAGGATGTCTGCATGTCTACGAGGTGTGAGTGACAGTTTTTCGTTGGTATTTTTAGGACTGAAGAAGACGCCGTCTCAGGAGGACTGGCTGATCAGTGTCCTACCAGAGAACTCCAAAGTGGGGGTGGACCCTTGGATTATTGCTGCAGGTAAACATTGTGCACATCCTGCAAAAAAAAAAAAAAAAAAATACTAATCTGTGCAGGGTTTGTCACCTGAAATCTTCATTTCTGCACCTTTAATAATTGTTTTTGGTTTAAGTCTTGTTCTTCTGTGTTTCAGATCAGTGGAAGAACATGTCCAAGGCCCTGAGCAGTGCTGGCCACTCTCTGGTGGCGGTGCAGGACAATCTGATCGATGTAGTCTGGACAGACCGACCAGAGAGACCGAGCAAACAACTCCGGACTCTGGGATTAGAATACACCGGTTAGTCCACTTGAATGTTATGTTTCAGATTAAACCATCATGATTATATTTGTAGTTTAGAGACGACTGATAGTTGGTGACGTCATGCTGTCGATCTCTACCTGCAGGTATTTCCTGGCAGGAAAAGATCTCCTCGCTGCGAGCCAAGATGACAGAGAGGAAGATCGTCTGGTTTGTTGCCACGGCGCTGGATGAGATCGCTTGTATGTTAAGTTTTAACAGTCAGTGACTCAGTGATGAACGATTATTATTCAGTGATTTAATATCTCGCCACTTTAGCAACCTTTTCTGACAGTTTTACATAGGGTTGGGCATCGTCTGATTTTGAACGATTCCGATTCCAATTCCTCGTTTCGATTCCGGTTCCTATCGTTTCCCGATTCCGATTCTTTCAAGACGTTACATGTTTCACATGAGCCAGCTAACCACAGGTCCTACTTGATGAAATAATCGTAACTTCAACATGAATTTTAATTCTAGGAACAATAACATCACCTTCATTTAGACAAAAACATGTTTGGAGAGCTGCGCAGTGGTGCAGTGGTTAGAGCTGTTGCCTTGCAGCTAGAAGGTCCTGGGTTCGCTTCCCGGCCTGGGGTCTTTCTGCATGGAGTTTGCATGTTCTCCCTGTGCATGCGTGGGTTCTCTCCGGGTACTCTGGCTTCCTCCCACAGTCCAAAAACATGACTGTTAGGTTGATTAGTCTGTCCAAATTGTCCTTAGGTGTGAGTGTGTGTGTGTGTGTGTGCATGATTGTTAGTCCTGTGTGTCTCTGTGTTGTCCTGCGATGGACTGGCTCTCTGTCCAGGGTGTACCCCGCCTAATTGCCCGTTGACCACTGGAGATAGGCGCCAGCCCCTCCCCCCCCCTCCCCCACGCGACCCTACGTGGACAAAGCGGTTTCAGAAAATGGATGGATGGATGTTTTGGAGACAAAAAGAAAAAGACTTGCAGCACAATCAGTGTGTTTGTTTCTGACCACAACCAAAGTCTGGAAGAAGCCTCTGGGATGAGTGGCTAAATGTCTGCAGCAGCACTCAGTTAGCCTAGTGAACTAGACCAAATTCTTGCTTTGCAAAGAATGTCTAGGCATGCTCCATTGGAACCTCAGCAGCTCCTACCAGGACTCTGGCTAGCCAATCACAGCTCTCTAGAGGGGTTTCAAACACATAAAGAGCTGTGATTGGTCCATAATGGTGGGCCAATCATAGTGCTCTATCTGCTTAGTGAACAAATCACAGAGCTTTATCCGCTTTGTGGGCCAATCAGGGCACTCTATATGCCTGGTGGGTGGGATGATGCAACAGAGTGAAACAAGAGTATGTCACATTCATTGTCCAGTGGAATGCGGAGATCATTTGAAAGACAACGGTAGAACCCGCCCCACAACCGAGAGCCGTCAATGGAGCATGGCCAGACTAAATAATACATTTATTTAGTCTGGCTTGCCAGGCTAGCATTCAGTCAGAACAGAAAGTGAAAACTTAAATGTAGCTGCTGTCAGTAACAATCTAACAGATTTTAAACATTAAAACTCTCAACAAAAATAGTTCAGAAAGGAAATTAAAATGTTCACAACTGTGTGTGATATATTATTATTATTATTTATTGTGGCAGAAGCTGGTGTGGTCCACCACAGAGAAGCTTCTCTAGCATGATGACTTTAATTATTCTACAGGTTATTGTTCAGCCTTCTGACGCTCACACACACGGGTCCCATTTTTGAGCGGCTGCGTCTGACTACTGACGCTCCGTGTGTGTTTTTATTTCTGCAGTGAGACAAACTCGCCTCACACCGTCCTCCAGAGTTTTTTCTTTAAAGCTTCTATTAAATCCTCCGTGTTGATGCATTTTAACAAGTTTCCTCTACGCTGCAGGAGTTAAAGTTTACATTACGGAGTAAAAGTTCGGCAGACGCGTTTGTTTATATCTGGGTGGGGGGAGGGGGGACTCGTGCTGCACACAGACAGCTGGTGTGATCAGCTCTGAAAAGCGTTGATCACAATTTGCAGATCACTTTTATTTTTCACAGAGATCGGCCGCGGATTCATCTTCCGGTCAGCATTCTAGAAATTGAAATAAAAAACTTTAAGCGATTCCGGGAAAAACTAACAGTTGGTCCCAGTTCCGCTCGATGCCCAACCATAGTTTTACACTCTAACTCATATCCAAGGCTGACATTTTTACATAACTGTGGTAAAACTGTAATGTATTTTTGATGTTCTGTCTGTCTTTTTTTTTTTCCTCTCAGGGCTTTTTAACCTCCGAGGCGCAGATATTAATTACAACCCAGTCTTCTTTGCTTATGCCATTGTAGGGATGACCTCCATCAGGTAATTCCAGCGTCAAACTGGTTCTTTGTAATAGAGATTAGTATATGGGAGAAAATCATTTTGATCCATTAATTTTTTTAATTGCCATTGCTTCTCAGTGGCCTAGTGGTGTGTCCACCCTGGGACGATCGGGGTTCAAATCCTGGTCGGGTCATACCAAAGACTTCAAAAATGGGACTCGGTGCCTCCCTGCTTGCTTTAAGGGGTTGGATTGGGGGTGTTAAACCACCAAATAGTTCCTGAGCACAGCCACTGCTGCAGCTGACTGCTTCCCACTGCTGGGGTCAAATGCAGAGATGTAATTTCACCAGTGTGTGATGCGGGCTTTATTTACTATGACGAAAACAAATTCTCTCCTCTCTACAGGCTGTTTGTGGACCTTAAGCGTCTCTCTGACCCTACGGTGAGGGACCACCTGCAGCTGGACTCTCCCAGCAGACCGGAGCTGCACATCCAGACGTTCCCGTACGAGTCAGTCTACACGGAGCTGCAGGCGATCTGCGCCGCACTCGGACCCAAAGACAAAGTGTGGATCTGTGACAAGGCCAGCTGTGCTCTCACACAGGTCATCCCAAAGGTGAGAGACTAGTTTCATCAACATTTCTAAATACGTTTCCAGATCATCTTTAATCTGTTTTCTGACCCAGAGGAGTGTGTCCCTGAGGAATGTGTTCAGCAAAGAATTATTCATGACACTTATCCATAGCACCATCATTTCTTAACACAGGATTATCTTGGTGTAAAGTAACACTGAGCAGTTTCCAGCTCCTCCGCCTTACTGGTTGAAAGTGGAATAACAACTGTTGTAAATAACCCTGTGGCAGCCTGCTGTAGCTAGCGCTAACAATGAGCTAACACTAACGTGAGCCAACTAACACTAAATTAAACCACAAAGTAAAAAGATCCACACTGTCAGACAAAAAATAGTATTACTTACATGTCCAGTAGCAACAAAGCCAGGTCACAATCAGTTTGTGATTTTGTAGCCTCCTTTAGTTCCCTCAAATTATTGTCAGTCGCATCGATGTTCACTTTAGTTTTAGCTCTTTGCTTTGCCTCCAAAGACATTACTGTCATACTTATCAGAAAAAGCAAACCTCCTCTTTTTCTTCTTCTTGCACTTTTCATTGACGATTGACAAATTGAAAATGCTAACTGCTAGCATTACAGCTAACAGCCGTAAAGCAGGTAAATCGCACCCCCTAGAACACTGACCTGCTCCGCAAAATTATCTAGTGTGGATTTTGGTCAGCAGAGGGCTGCAGAGTGGTGTCAGATATGAAACTGGTCAAGTTTCTGTCTCAATAATCACTGAGATCAATGTTAAAGCTCTAGCTTAAAGTTAAAAAAAACTATTTAGTGTTACTTTAAAAACATGGATTCCCTGAAAGATTGCCTTTATTTTGAGCTTGTGTTGACATTTGTTTTTTTCCTCCTTTAGGTCCACAGGTCTCCGATCCCTTACACGCCACTCTGTCTCTCTAAGGCTGTGAAGAACACCACGGAGATCCAAGGCATGAAAATGGCGCATGTAAGAAACTTTGAACCTTCAGTTTTATTGAGCCTGTTATTTCTTCATGTGACCTGAATGCAGTTAAACTTTCATCCTTTGTGTTTTATCCAACAGATCAAGGATGCAGTGGCCCTTTGTGAGCTGTTTGCTTGGTTGGAAAAAGAGGTATTTCTGTGTTTGCATGGCTGAATATTCCATATTTTAAAAGAACGCACGGTTCAGTTCATGAACAAATTTCTTACTTGACTTTAAACTAGAAAAATAATATAAATTAAAGCTGCAAGCAGCGTCGTTCGGCCCTCGCAGCTCTGCGCCGCTCCGGCCTGGCCAGCAGCCCGGGGCACCAGGGCACGTCTGGCAGAACAGAATCGTCAACCACCCCGACGCCAGAATCCGCAAATGGCCTCCTAGTCCGCACCTCACCCTGACTCAGCATCCCCTCTGAGCTCACCATTAAATTGAATTGTAAGGTTACGGCGTTACGCCAGAATTCGCCATGGCATAAAAGCCCCTCCCTTTCTGGAAAGCTATCAGATCTGAATGGTCATTACAACATCATGAAGACAGTGTATGACCTTAGTGTCATGTTCACTAAATTAGAGGGGACAAATATGGGTATTTCAGCATAAAAAATAGACTTCCTGTAGTCAGGAGGCGGGGCTTAGGTGATGTCAGCTGTCCACATTGTCATTTTTTACAGATATGGTCAATGATCACACAGACAAAGTTTGAAAAAGATCTGATCATGCACATGGGAGTTATTAAGTCAAGTAAAGTAATGGCGAAAGGTCAAAGTTTGAGGCTTAGCCACGCCCACACCTTTCAACTTTTGAAAAATCCAACGGTTGAATTTTTTCCCCTACGTCGTAAGAGTATACAGCAGAAGTTTGAAAGTGATTGATGAAAAGGGCGACGGAGCATCACTCTCCAAACAACGTGTGCGAAAACCACTAAATCGCGTACTTGGACCAAAATGGCCGACTTCCTGTGCGACTTTGTCCTTGGCTCCAAGAGACTTTTTTGTAGGTCCTGAGACACCACATTAGTGTACCAAATTTCGTAATCCTCAGTCAAAGCATGGCTTGGGGCTATTAGTTTAAATGGTCCTAGGGGGCGCTATTTAAGAGAATAGGCCACGCCCACAAACTTCAGCTGTCTATTTCTCTTGGGGGTCAGACTAGGATCACTCACCAGAAGTTTCGTAGCGATATCACGATAACTGAAGAAATGAGAGGCAAACGTATTTCCATGGCGTGATGGCGATTTTCGCCATGCTCCCAAAGCCCCGCCTTTTTTCAAAACCTGCCAGTACTGGAGACTAAGTAACCTCAAGTTGTCTACTGCTGTTTCCCACAGAATCCTGGTGATTGGGTAAAAGGAGTCCAGTAGGGAGCTGTGAAAAAAAGAGTGGCGTGGCGACAGGTCAAAGTTTGAGGCTTAGCCACGCCCACACCTTTCAACTTTTGAAAAATCCGACGGTTGAATTTTTTTCCCTATGTCTTACGAGTACATAGCAGAAGTTTGAAGGAGAATGGTGAAAAGGGCGACGGAGCATCACTCTCCAAACAACGTGTGCGAAAACCACTAAATCGCGTACTTGGACCAAAATGGCCGACTTCCTGTGCGACTTTGCACTAGGCTCCAAGAGACTTTTTTGTAGGTCCTGAGACACCACATTAGTGTACCAAATTTCGTAATCCTCAGTCAAAGCATGGCTTGGGGCTGACAGTTTTAATGGTCCTAGGGGGCGCTATTTCAGAAAATAGGCCACGCCCACCGGATGTTGACATCAGATTGTTTGAGGGGCCAGACTAGGATTACTCACAAAAAGTTTCGTGACGATATCTTTAGAAATGACGAAATGGGAGGCAAACGTAAGGCCACGGCGGTACGTCTGACTTCGCCGCGCCGCCACAGCCCCGCCCTCTGCCGAAAACTCCCATAAAGTGACGCCAAGCAACCCCCACTTGTCTTGAGTTACCAGCTACAAATTTGTGGTGATTAAGTGAAATGGGGCAGTTTGGGACCTTTCACAGTAAAACTTGACCTTTTTGGTCCTGAGCGGGCGGGGCTTGTGTGATGTCATCATCCAACCATTCATATTACTTTGTGGGTGGATGATGAATGACCACAGAAAGTTTGGTAACTTTATTCTATTCAGTTATGAAGTTATAGCAATTAAAAAAAAATTGGCGAGTAGTCAAACTTCAAGGCCTGGCCCCGCCCCTTCAACATATACGAAAACTCAGAATCCTCATCTCATTTTGTTTGCCCATCCCTTCTGAGCATTTTTACACAATTTTTGAGACGATCGTGCGAAAAATGATCGAGCAATCCAATCAGAAACGGACCCTAAAAACTGCAAAAACGGCTAAAAATCGCCATTTCAACCCAAAATGGCCGACTTCCTGTTTGATATTGACCATGCTTGCAAGAGACTTTTCTGTGCGGACTGTTGAGTACTACAAGTGTACCAAATTTCATAACTGTACGATAAACTAAGCTTTATGGAGAGGGTTTTTTTTCACATTGTAGGGGGCGCTGTTCAGCCATTTTCTTTGCGATTTTTTTGGGACCTTTAAAATATCAAATTTTTCACCAGGCCTGACAAGTTTGCAAAATATTGTGAGTTTTGGGGTATGTTAAGGTCCCCAAAAAGCCATTCAAAGGGGGCACGGAATAACAAAAAAAGAAAGAATTAAAGCTGCAAGCAGCGTCGTTCGGCCCTCGCAGCTCCGCGCCGCTCCGGTCTGCCGTCGCACCAGTGCACGTCTGACAGAACAGAAACGTCAACCACCCCGACACCAGAAACCGCGAATGGCCTCCTAGTCTGCACCTCACCCTGACTCAGCATCCCCTCTGAGCTCACCATTAAATTGAATATTAAGATTACGGCGTTACGCCAGAATTCGCCATGGCATCAAAGCCCCTCCCTTTCTGGAAAGCTATCAGATCTGAATGGTCATTACAGCATCATGAAGACAGTGCATGACCTTAGGGTCATGTTGACTAAATTAGAGGGGACAAATATGGGCATTTCAGCATAAAAAATAAATTCCTGTAGTCAGGGGGCGGGGCTTAGGTGATGTCAGCTGTCCACATTGTCATTGTTTACAGATATGGTCAATGATCACACAGACAAAGTTCGAAAAAGATCTGATCATGCACATGGGAGTTATTAAGTCAAGTAAAGTAATGGCGAAAGGTCAACGTTTGAGGCTTAGCCACGCCCACACCTTTCAACTTTTGAAAAATCCGACGGTTGAATTTTTTCCCCTATGTCTTAAGAGTGTATTGCAGAAGTTTGAAGGTGATTGGTGAAAAGGGCGACGGAGCATCACTCTCCAAACAATGTGTGCGAAAACCACTAAATCACGTACTTGCACCAAAATGGCCGACTTCCTGTGCGACTTTACGCTTGGCTCCAAGAGACTTTTTTGTAGGTCCTGAGACCCCACATTAGTGTACCAAATTTCGTAATCCTCAGTCAAAGCATGGCTTGGGGCTGAAAGTTTTAATGGCTCTAGGGGGCGCTATTTAAGAATATAGGCCACGCCCACAAACTTCAGCTGTCTATTTCTCTTGGAGCTCAGACTAGGATCACTCACCAGAAGTTTCGTAGCAATATCACGATAACTGAAGAAATGAGACAAACGTATTTCCATGGCGTGATGGCGATTTTCGCCATGGTCCCAAAGCCCCGCCTTTTTTCAAAACCTGCCAGTACTGGAGACCAAGTAACCTCAACTTGTCTACTGCTGTTTGCCACAGAATCCTGGTGATTGGGTAAAAGGAGTCCAGTAGGGAGCTGTGAAAAAAAGAGTAGCGTGGCGACAGGTCAAAGTTTGAGGCTTAGCCACGCCCACACCTTTCAACTTTTGAAAAATCCGACGGTTAAATTTTTTCCCCTATGTCTTAAGGGTATATAGCAGAAGTTTGAAGGAGATTGGTGAAAAGGGCGACGGAGCATCACTCTCCAAACAACGTGTGCGAAAACCACTAAATCGCGTACTTGATCCAAAATGGCCGACTTCCTGTGCGACTTTGAACTTGACTCCAAGAGACTTTTTTGTAGGTCCTGAGACACCACATTAGTGTACCAAATTTCGTAATCCTCAGTCAAAGCATGGCTTGGGGCTAATAGTTTAAATGGTCCTAGGGGGCGCTATTTCAAAACATAGGCCACGCCCACAAAATTCAGCTGTCTATTTCTCTTGGAGCTCAGACTAGGATCACTCACCAGAAGTTTCGTAGCAATATCACGATAACTGAAGAAATGAGAGACAAACGTATTTCCATGGCGTGATGGCGATTTTCGCCATGGTCCCAAAGCCCCGCCTTTTTTCAAAACCTGCCAGTACTGGAGACCAAGTAACCTCAACTTGTCTACTGCTGTTTGCCACAGAATCCTGGTGATTGGGTAAAAGGAGTCCAGTAGGGAGCTGTGAAAAAAAGAGTAGCGTGGCGACAGGTCAAAGTTTGAGGCTTAGCCACGCCCACACCTTTCAACTTTTGAAAAATCCGACGGTTGAATTTTTTCCCCTATGTCTTAAGGGTATATAGCAGAAGTTTGAAGGAGATTGGTGAAAAGGGCGACGGAGCATCACTCTCCAAACAACGTGTGCGAAAACCACTAAATCGCGTACTTGATCCAAAATGGCCGACTTCCTGTGCGACTTTGAACTTGACTCCAAGAGACTTTTTTGTAGGTCCTGAGACACCACATTAGTGTACCAAATTTCGTAATCCTCAGTCAAAGCATGGCTTGGGGCTAATAGTTTTAATGGTCCTAGGGGGCGCTATTTCAGAAAATAGGCCACGCCCACCAGATGTTCACATCAGATCTTTTGGGGGGCCGGACTAGGATCACTCACAAGAAGTTTCGTGACGATATCTTTGGAAATGACGAAATGGGAGGCAAACGTAAGGCCAAGGCGGTACGCCTGAATTCGCCGCGCCACCACAGCCCCGCCCTCTGCCGAAAACTCCCATAAAGTGACGCCAAGCAACCCCCACTTGTCTTGAGTTACCAGCTACAAATTTGTGGTGATTAAGTGAAATGGGGCAATTTGGGACCTTTCACAGTAAAACTTGATCTTTTTGGTCCTGAGGGGGCGGGGCTTGTGTGATGTCATCATCCGACCTTTCAATTTACTTTGTGGGTG